CGCCTGTGCCTCCAGCTCCAGCGCCAACAGCTCCATCTCCTCCAGCCCCAGCTGCTCCAGGCTCCGTAGGGTCTCCAGCTCCAGCTCCCCCAACACCACCAGTCCCGGCAGCTCCAGTACCCCCGGTACGAGCACCTCCAGGACCAGCAACTGCAGCACCTCCGATACCACTAGGTACAGCAGTAACTCCAGCACCTCCAGCTCCAGTGTCTCCAGCGGCCGAGTCTCCAGCTCCGGCAGCCCCACTCCGAAGGCGGGTGCGCAGGGCAAACCACTCACGCAGCTGCTGCGGAGAGAGAGGCTCTTCCCGGGGAGACAGTCGTGGCGAAGCACCCGCAGGACCTCCAGAAGAAGCAGTGCCCCTCGGCTCAGCACCCCCAGTCTCAGAACCTCTAGGCTCCACACCCTCAGGCTCAGCACCCCAGGCTCCACACCCTCAAGCTCAGCACCTCCAAGCTCCGCACCCCAAGGCTCATCACCCCCAGACCCAGCACCCTCAGACTCCGCACCCCAAGGCTCAGCACCCCCAAACCCGGCACCCTCAGACTCCGCACCCCGAGGCTCCGCACCCCCAGACGCAGCACCTGGAGCAGCACCTTAGCCGACAGCTACCTGAGACAAACCTGAGGGAGCAGGATCAATGGGGGGGAGGGGGTTTACCGGAGGGGGACCTGGAGCAAGGAAGAGCGGCAGTGGTGGGGGAGGAGCAGAGCGGTAGGGGAAGAGACGGTAAAAGGGACCCGATTTGTCAAACGTGACATCTTGAGAGGGGAAGACACGGCGCGAGGTGGGGTGGTAAAACTTCCAGCCAGGCGCGTCAGGGGAAGACTGTGGTGTGCCGCGTGTAATCGTCAACAACCAGCAGAAAGTAGTGCTCGTGGCCCTGTCCTTTGATGCGGGCGGGGCCCCACACGTCCATGTGGAGAGTCTGCAGGGGAGCAGTCGTCGGGGGAAACAAGGAGGAGTGAGGAGCGGCGCGCTGCCGCCCCTCAACGCAGGGAAGGCAGGGCGGGGCAGGCGAGGGCGGAAGGGGAGGCAGAGACCTGGGAAGACCAGAGACAAGGAGACGGGAGTGCATGCCACGAAGGCGTGGCAGGGAGGGGTGACCCAGGCGGTGGTGCCACTGAAGGGTCTGGTGCGACAGGAGGCGACACGATCAAGGGGGTGCTACCTGACCTGACGCGGACACCTGAGCAGACGCAGCTACCTTAGGAGGCTCGGTAGCCAGTGTGTACAGACTCGACCCTGGCCGACGAGTGAACGTGGCCAGGTGACGGCCCGTCCGCATACACGTGCAGATCGACACACGCTGACCCTCAGGAGTGGTGGTAGTGACCATCGCGTCCTGGAGGGCAGCGGTACTCACCAAGTTTGTAGAGAATAAGGGGAGGTGAAGGCCGGACAGTGAGCTGGACGGAACCGCCGGACACGGGAGCATAGTGGAGGAACGGGCGAGGACTGGGCCCCCGGAGGTGTCAGCCAGCCTGACCGGTACAGGTGCAGAGAGAGGAGTGAGGGTGGTTCTGTTGCGAAAGAAACAGCGTGAGCCACCTGAGTCAAGTGTGAAGGTGTGCAAGGCCTCAGCAGGCGCAGTACCAGGGAGAACAAACTCAGTGGCACCTTGAGCAGCAGCCTCTATGCCTGGGTCAGGCGGCACACAGAGGTAACAGTCACCCTCAGCACTAACAGACAAAGCATACATAGCAGCAAGGATAGCATCATAGTCTAGGTCAAAGATAGGGGCGCTGCTGCACCATGTGTGACTGAGTCAAGGTAATGGTGCGCTGTGCTCTGTCCCGGGTGATCCGCAAGCCAAGATAGCTTGTCAGCTCACCCAGGTCTGTGCACGTGTGTCTCTTCTGCAGCTCGGACTTCACGTGGGCGAGTGCCTCAGTGTCAGCAGTAGCAAAGACGAGGTCGTCTACGTACACGAGAACGTAGAACGGCTGCAGAGTAGTGTCAGTGCGTAGAAACAGAGAAGGGTCAACAGTGGAAGGAGCAAAACCAAGAGAAGCAAGAGTCGTCCTGAGTGTGTCGTGCCACTCACGGGGTGCCTGGCGGAGACCGTAGACTGGCCGCCAAAGGCTCCACTGGGTACCAGCAGGAAACGACCCAGTGAAGCCAGGTGGGCGGCGCAGCCAGATCTCCTCGTGCAGGCTGCCCTGCAGGAAGGCTGTGCTGAAGTCAAGCGAGTGGAGCTCGTAGTCACGCTGAGCAGCAACGTGCAGCAGTACCCGAAGAGTGGTCATCTTCGGGGTAGGGGAGAAGGTCTGAAAGAAGTCAACTCCCTGTCGCTGACTGAAGCCACGAGCAACGTAGCGCGCCTTGAAGACAGGCGGAGAACCCGGTGGCCGCTTCACCCTGAAGATCCACATGCCACTGACGATGTTCGCCCCAGGCGGGGGAACCTCGTCGACGTAAGTGCCTGTGGACTTCCAGGAAGCCATCTCGGCGTCCATGGCTGCCTGCCACTGAGAGGAGTAGGGACCCTCTATCGCCTCTGCGTAAGAGCGCGGGGTCGGGATGTCTGGTGCATCCGGGTCTCCCTCAGGGGCAAGCAGCATGGACACGAGATGAGGTACAGAAGCAGCAAAGCACTCAAACTCCTCCTGTCTGTCCTCAAGAACGTCCGTGCCAAGGGCACACTCACCCCCGACGTACGGAGGACAGACAGACACCGACGCAGACTCAGCAACAAGGCTAGTGGCGAAGTCTAGGCGACAGGTAGCAGCAAAGTCAACAAGCTCAGCAACGAGAGCAGACGCAGCAGTGGACTCAAACAAAGGGTCAGTGACAGCAGTGGCCAGAAAGCGCGTGACAGCTGGACAAGCAGCACGGAGGGAGTCAGACGCAGGGTTCGGACCGGCAGGAAGAGAGGATGCAGGAGGAGAGGGCAGAGGGACACGCTGTGGAGCAGTGGAAGAACGCAGAGTCATAGAGTGAGTGCCAGGGACAAGAGGAGGACGCGGACGCGAAACACGACCAGCGCGAACAGAACGGACCGGCGACGTAGAACGAGACACAGGCGACACAGGACGCGACTCAGGCTCACGACGCTCCGTAAGACCTCTAGTCGGTCCAGAGTAAGGAGAAGGACCAGGCAGCGGAGAGGCCGGCTGTAACAACGACTGAGACGGGACAGGCAGTGGACTCAAGGAAGGAGGAGGAGGAGGACCAGGAGAAGGCGAGGAGCCAAGAACCTGCTGAAGAAGCGGAACGTAGAACGGCCGCGGCCGCGCAGCGCCTCCAGAAACAGCAGAGACAGCACCGGTACCCTCAGCCCCAGGGTCACCACTCCCAGCAGCACCTCCAGCAGCAGCAGCACCTCCAGCAGCGCCAGCACCTCCAGCAGCTCCAGCAGCAGCAGCACCTCCAGCAGCACCTCCAGCACCACCAGCACCAGCAGCACCTCCAGAAGCTCCAGCCGCACCTCCAGCACCAGCAGCACCTCCAGAAGCTCCAGCAGCACCACCAGCAACTCCAGCAGCGCCAGCACCAGCAGCACCTCCAGAAGCCCCAACAGCACCTCCAGCAGCACCAGCACCAGCAGCACCTCCAGAAGTCCCATCAGTACCCCGACAGCGCCGAAAGTACCACTCACGAAGCTGCTGTGGCGAGAGAGGCTCCCGCCGCGGTGGGACACCGAGAGCACCTCCAGACGCAGCACACGCAGGCTCAGCACCTCCAGACACAGTACCCTCAAGCTCCACACGCCCAGGCTCAGCACCCCCAGACTCAGCACCCCCAGTCCCCGCACCCGCAGGCTCAGCACCCCCAGACTCAGCTACCTCGACCGGCTCGGCAAGGTCTACCTGGGACACACCTGAGGGGGCAGGACCCTGAGGGGGGAGGGGGTCTACCGGGGGAGTACCTGGGGCAAGGAAGAGCGGCGGGGGGGGGGGGAGAGGCAGTGCGGTAGGGAAAGAGACGGTAGTACGACACCGACTCGTCAAACGTGACGTCCTGAGAGGACAGAACACGACGCGAGGTGGGGTGGTAGAACTGCCACCCGGGTGCGTCAGGAGGGAAGCCAAGGAAGACACAGGGAACGGCACGGGAGGACAGCTTGTCCGCAGTAGTATCGCGGACAAAAGCTCGAGATCCCCAGACACGGAACGCGGACGCATCGCCAACCTTCCCCGTCCACCGCAGAGTAGGTGTGGTCTCAGGCAAGGAGACACGAGGCTAAAGGTTGATCCGATGCGCTGCGTACTGAACCGCGAACGGCCACAGAAAATGGGGAGCAGCCGCATGGATCATGGACGTACGAGCGACGTCCATGACCATGCCAATGCGGCGCTCAGCAATCCAGAGAATTCCCGTGAGTTCGCAAAGCGTGCTGGACGAGGCGACAAGAGCCTGGGGTAAGTGTGATGAAAGCGAACCGACGCGGCCATCGGGTGCGGAATAGCAGGCCCCCCAAGTGCTGTCGCTCGCGTCCACATACATCACGATGTCGTATAGATATGGGTTGTGAAAACACGAACCATTGAACACATCGAACTGGGAGAGCCAGAAGCGCAACTCGTCAATTGACTCCGCGTTCAAGAAGACGGACTCTCTCCAGGATGAGCAATCCGAGATTTGTGAAAGTAGATTGTGCGAAAAGGCACGCGCGAGGGTGCCGAGTGCGGGCGCCATAGAGGCAAGCATGCCAGTAATGTAGTTGAGTGGCGGCTCGCACAATAGCGCGTCGAGGACATTTCCAACTGTTCGCCCGACACGTGCGCGAAATGCACGACCCCCAATGTTTTTGAGCTAGCCGCCCCCTTAGAAGGCCACAGACTGAATATTGTTGAGTATATTAGGACCTTTACACGGTCTGTGTATGTTAGAACCTTACACTTTTCACTTCTGGAAACTAGTATATATTGGGAATTGCTTGGTTACAAATTACAAGCCTCCTTGATTAGTAAAAATAGATGCTGTACACGTAATGGCCGCTGCTATGTCAGTTAGTGTGCATTTCAGCAGTTATAGTTGTCAAGGCCGCCTTCACTCTAGATCGATACAATCGTCTCCTCGGCCTCCTTGCTGCACCACTGCTCCCTGCACTGTCCATCAGGTGCGGCGCCATGCAGCCTCCCACTACGGTCAGTGAATTGCTATCCATGGAGAACGATTCAGATGCTTCGTGCACTGTGGAGGGAACCAAGTGAGCCGTGGACTGAAGAGAAGATGACGACGGTGCGGCATGGAGGGAGGGGCAGACAGAGGTGGTGGAAGCACCGGAGGGGGCAACACACGCCAGGGGCGCCAGCACGTCCCCCACAGCCGCACTCGCCGCATCCCTCGCCGCCTTGGCTGCTGCCGCGGCTGCAGGCACGTGGGCAGTAAGCCAGGGGTGGGAGAGCAGGTCGCAGGCAGAGGGGCGAGCAGCGGGGTCCACAGACAGCAGCGACCGCACGAGCTGCTTCGCCTCGTCTGACACGCCCTCCCACGCCTCGCCCGTGAGGTCGGGGTGGCCGCGGCAGATGGCGCGGAACACGTGGGGCAGGTCGGGGCCGTAGAAGGGCACGTACCCTGCCAGCATCACATACAACACCACGCCCACACTCCACATGTCCGCCGCACTGTCATACTCGCGCCCACACACCACCTCCGGCGCCATGTACAGGGATGATCCCGCCAGCCCGCGCGCCCTGCCCCTCGCGCCCACAGCCACCGCCTGCCCGAAGTCCGCCAGCTTCACGCTCACGTGCGCCAGCACCGCCTCCGCGCTCTGCGCGTCCGCGAGCAGGGGCGCGGCGGAGAGACCGGCGAGGAGGAGGTTCTCGGGCTTCACGTCCAGATGCAGCACGCCGTGCGCGTGGCACCACGCCACCGCGCTCGCCGCCTGCGCCAGCACCGCCGCCGCGCAGCGCTCGGGCAGGCGGCCGGCGCGCGCGACGAGGTCGAAGAGGTCGCCGCTGTCGCAGAGGTCCATGACGAGGTGCACGCGGCGCGCGTCCTCATGCACGCTCGCGAGGCGCACCACGTGCGGGTGCGGCGGCAGCACCGCCATGCACAGCAGCTCCATCTCGAGATCGCCGCGCCGCTCCCCGCACAGGCGCGCCTTCTCCACCGACTTGCACGCCAGCAGCTGCCCGCTGCGGCGCGCCATGCACGCGCGCACCACGCCGAACTCCCCGCGCCCCATCTCCTCCTGCGCCACCGCGTATTCCGCCTCCAGCGGCGCCGTCGCGAACGGCAGCAAGCGGTCGCCGGCGAGAAGGGCGTCAGTCGGAGTGTCTGTCGACGGTCTGAGCGCGGTTTGCGGAGAATGGTCGATGGCGCACGGCATTGCGGCGTCCGCGATGCCCGCCGCCCTCACGGCGGTGCCGCACTGCTCCCATGGTTCTCTTCTGACTGCTGCCGCACACTGCGTCGTCATGGCTTCTGCTTCGTCGTCGATGCACTACGTAGGTGTGATTGCGAGGAGGAGTGAATGCAAGGAGGGAGGTGAACGGATGATACCGAGGTGGTTCTTGAGAGTAGCTATATTCTAGGCCACCGACTGGCCACTGACGGGAGCAGCAAGCGCAAGTCGCGCCGGCGCCCATTCAGCAGTGCTGGCAGCCTTGGCAGCAGACGCAGCTCGCACGCACTGCGCTGTGCGCGCTACAGCGCCGCGTAGGGGAATGGGCGGCCCATTCCCCTACGCGGCCTGCCCTCTCCGCCCTCCACGTGCACGAGCTCGTTTCTGCCGGATTCTGCCTGCCCCGCGTCAGTCCGCGCGCGAGCAGCAGCAACGCTCGCACGACGAGAACGATTTTTTAACGTTCAACCGTTAACAGAGATACGTGTGCTACCGTGACCCGCTATGGCACGCAGCGGTCGTTGCTTTCAGCGGCGACGGGTCCTCTGGCTGCGAAGCGGCGCGCAGTAAGCAATCATTGACGCGTGCCTACCACGCACCCGCTCTTGCTCTGTCGTGCATTGCCGGGCGTGCGGGGCGCATGATTGATCGGCGGCGATTATGACGCCCTCCCTGTGGCAAGGCAACACAGCAGAACAGATGTCTCCCGTCGTCGCGAAAAAAATGAGAGAAAGGGCGCCGTTTTGCGATTATTGCAGCCTGGGCGGGGAATGAGGCCGAGCAGGCGAACGCGAAGCAGGCAGGCAGAGGCTCAAGACACCCTCGCCAGGGCCCCACCAAGGGCAACCTACAGTACAGCAGAGGTCGTTCAACTCCCTCCCGTCACGCGCCCCGTTGAGCTGCCAACGGACGAAACGAGAAGATGAAACGAACGCGCTGACTATAGCTCGCCACCACAGCAAGCACGGTACTGTACCCCTGAAAAGCAAGCGCGCTTTGCTTGCACCCACCACCAATCCTGCTCGCACACGTTCCAAACCAACAACTCCAATGGGAAACACGACACGGAGAGCTGCACGCTTGGCTGTGCTTTTGGTGCCAGCTGTGTCGAATTGAATGTGGTTCGCGCGCGCCTAGAAATCCACAAGCGAACGCGTACAGTAACAGTGTGTTCACCTATTTGCATATGGTGGCTGACTGGGACAACTCTAATGTTCTGGCAATCTGGTCACAGAACCTACAGAACCGTACGCATGCAGAACGGCTACCCCTCCATGTCACGTGACAACGCGAGGAGAAGAAACAGAAGCAGAGCAGATGCGACGGACCGACCATCCGCTTTGGCGACGTCGTGATTTGAAGGTGTAGACGCATGTTACAACGATGGTTCGAAATGAGTAAATACAATGCAAAGAAAGAATTCGAAGTAGAATCGAAGACCTCAGCAGTCCATCCTGGATTCGCGACTATTCCGGGACGATGGAATCCGCACCCAATGGCGCCGCACCACGTGTGCAGATCTACCCCCAGCACACCGACTGCGTCTCTGATTTCATGCGAGGTGCGCGAATGTCGTTGTTTCCGTATTTGCTGACGTGGCGGATTTGTTGCTCACGCTCTTAGGATCGTAAACACCTTAGTCGGCAATAGTCTACTTGCTATTGCTTATCGTGTTCTCCACGATCTCACGAATCCAATGATATGCGCAGCTCTGCTTGAAGTTGTCAATACACACTTCAGCAATTTTCAGAATCTGATTGGTTTCAATGTTGTGATTTCCAGAATGAGTACAAGCAGTTTTATAGTCAAGCAAGACACAAAATGCGATTCGTAACTTCACTTGTTTCCCAAGTAACCGCGTGCGCCTCGTTTCACCCCGAGTCGCACACGGAACCGAACCGAATTCGCCGAACACTCCTCGAGTCCGAATCCAGCACCTTCTCGAACACGCCTCAGTCTCGAACCACAATTTCCCCTTGTCAACTCCAATCTCGATACTTCTTCACTCTTCTTCCTCCATTTCTCTAGTTTCTTCCCAATTTCTCTCTCGCTTCTCACGCCGTAGCTTCCATTCTCCACCGTAGGCCGATTTCCACCGTTTCACCTAGAATCATCCACGTGCTTCCATTTCGCCGTCATTCCGCCGTCGTAGAAGCTTTCGCCGTAGGTTCCGTGGTTGGGCGAACCAACCCTAACACACGCAAGGAAGCTGGATTCATGACCATGTCAGGGTTCCAGGTTCTGGGTTCGGGGTTTAAGGTAAGAGAGAGGGGCGGGAGCAGTGTGGAGGGAGGAGTAGAGGAGGCACGATAGTACCAGTGGGGGACCATGGGCGAAGAAAGGAAGGACCTAGTGGCGGAGATGGGGCGGTGTGAGGGCGCGCAGTTGCAGCGCGGGAGACGCGGAGTTACGCGATCGTCCGCTGGTGCTCCGCCACCCACTCGAGCAGCCGCTTCTCGTCCCTGGCCCCTCACCCCTCGTCTCTGTCTGTGCGCATGAATGCATGGGTGCACGCGTGCATGTGCGGATGTGTGCTCGTGTGAATGTGTGTGTGCCATGGGCTGCGCGGGGCAGGCAAGTACGAGAGGGAGGCGAGGCGCTACTGGGATCTCTTCTACAAGCGCAACGGCGAGCGGGTGAGCGCGTGCCACGTGGTGCACAGTGCCTACCATTGCCACTGTCACTCTGCTCGCCTTGCTTCGCTGCCACACTGCATCCTTCACCCCACCACTGCCACAACCTTTCCCTCCCCCACTGTCAAGCCCCCCTCGCTCTGCTCTGCGTTGCTCATTCCGTTTCAACTCCTCCACCCCACTCTCTTTTCCCCTTTCCCCCATCTCCTCCCCGTCTCGCCGTCGCCCCGTGTCTCTGCGCGCAGTTCTTCAAGGACCGCCACTACCTGCACCACGAGTGGGCGCTCTTCCTCCGCGGGGATGCGGGCGCAGGGAGAGCGGCAGAGGCGGGGACAGAGGGGGGAAAAGAGGGGGGGGCAGAGGGAGGGGGAGGGGAGGCTAGGGCCGGGGATGCAGGCGCAGGAGCGGGGAGCGCAGGGGGCGGTGGTGGGTGTGGCGGCGGCAGGGAGGGGTGCGTGTGCGAGCGGTGCGTTGCCATCCGACGAGTGGTGCTGGAGGTGAGGTGAGTGGTGTTGAGTGGGAGGTGGGAGGTGGAGTGGGGCGTGGGGAGGGGGCCGTGCAGGGTGCAGTGTTGTTGTGCTTCAGCCTCCCCCTATTCTCCTGTGCCCTGCTGCCCCTTCACCTTCCTGCGCCACTCCTCTCTTCTCACCGCCAATGCACCCCCTACCCCCTCACCCAACGCCCTCTCATCCCCCTGTGCTCCCCCCATCCCCGCCTTGCTCCCTTATTCCCCCTGTATTTCCCCAATCCCCTCCCCCATGTTTCCCTATTACCCCTGTCCTCCGCCATCCCCTCTGTGCCCCCCCGATGGGCAGGTGGGGTGCGGGGCGGGCAACACGGTGTTCCCGTTGCTCGCAGACGACCCGCACCTCTTCGCCCTCGCCTGCGACTTCTCCCCGCGGGCTGGGCCCCACACGTCCATGTGAAGAGTCTGCAGGGGAGCCTCAGTCGGAGGGAACGAGGAGGAGTGAGGGGCGGCGTGCTGCCGGCCCTCGACACAAGGAACACAGGTGGGGGCAGGCCCCGGAGGAAGGGGAGGGAGGGACCTGGGGAGACCAGAGACAAGGGCACGGGAGGCCATACCTCGAAGACGAGGCAGGGAGGGGTGACCAAGGCGGTGGTGCCAAAGGAGAGTCTCGTGCGACAGAGGACGACACGAGCAGGGGGCAGACGCAGGACTAGACCTGGACGCGGCAGCAAACACCTGACTAGAAGCAGCTACCTGACCAGACACAGAGACCGAAGGAGGTGCAGTAGTCAGTGTGTACAGACTCGACCCTGGCCGACGGGTGAACGTGGCCAAGTGGCGGCCCGTCCGAGAGCAAGTGCAAGGGGTCACACGCTGACCTCCAGGGGTGAACTGGTCAACCCACGCGTCCTGGATGTCAGCTCCACTCACCAAGTTCGTAGAGAACGAGGGGAGGTGGAGTCCCAACAGCAAGCCCGACGGGGCCGCAGGACACGGTAAAACTGTAGAGGAGCGTGCAAGGACTGGGCCCCCTGAGGGGTCAGCAAGGGAGACCGCAACAGGCCGGCTGAGCGGCGTGAGCGTGGTGCTGTCTCTAAAGAAAGAGCGCGAAGCACCAGAGTCAAGTGTGAAAGTGTGCAAGGCCTCAGTAGGTGCAGTACCAGAGAGAGTAGACGTACCAGCACCTAGAGCAGCAGACGCACTAGCACCTAGGGCAGCAGCCGCACTAGCACCTAGAGCAGCAGCCGCAGTGCCCGGGTCAGGCGGGACACTCAGGTAACAGGCACCCTCAGTAATATCAGCAAGAGCATACATGGCAGCAAGGATAGCATCAAAATCTAGATCAAAGATAGGCACATTCTGCAGAAGCAGATCATGCCAGCGAGGGAGCTCAACAGAGTCAGGAAACTAGGTACGCCAAGCGTCAGTCAAGCGACCGAAGCAACGCTGCGTGGTGTGTGGGAGCCCACACACCTCCCCACTACGAGGGCCGGTGCGAAGAACGTAAGCGCAGGGACCTGCACCCCCAGACCTACCACGCCCAGCGTACCACTCATGAAGCTGCTGAACCGACGGGGTCTCACAGGTGCGTAGCTGCTGCTGGCGCTTGCTGCCACCAAAGCCTCCATGCTGCGCGGCTGCCCCTCGACCAGAACCACCGCCGCCTCCGCCTCCACTACCGCTGCCGCTGCCTCCACCACCTCCGCCGCTGCCTCCACCACCACCGCCGCTGCCTCCACCACCCCCACTGCTGCCACTGAAGCCCCCACTCCCGGTACCACCCCCACCTCCACCGCCACCCCTTCCGCCTCCTCCACCACCCCCCCCACCACCCCCTCCACCACCCCTGGTCCCCTTGCCCTTGCTGTTGCGGCGTCTCCCACTAGGGGCCGACGCAGCTCCGACCTCCTCAGTGCCAGCGAGGTCGACAGCAGCAGCAGAAGCAACAGAGGGGAGAAGGGGGACAGGGGAACACCCCTCAAAGAAGGGGGTGCGACGGTCGCCGTGAGAAGCACCTACAGCTAAGATACTCTTCTCAGCTGCAGCAAGGCGCTCCTCTAGCAGGTCGACAGTCAGCTCGGTGGGGCAAAGGGAGAGAAAGTGGTCCCTCACTGAAGAGAGAGAGTCAGGGAGGCGGGTGACTAGGTAGTAAAGGGTGATGTACATGGGGGGGGGGTTCTTAGCACAGAACTCAGTGGGAAGGGCAGCGCGGTAGCGGGCGTCACTAGCGCGAAGGTGAGCAACTAGGTCAGCGACGGTGGTAAAGGCGGCAAGGTCAGGGAACAGGTACGGCAGCATGAGGCGACTAAGGGCAGCAGTGGCAGGGGAGGAGTAGCGTGCAACTACAGCGTCGTACAAAGACTGGGCAGTCTTGTACTGACCAAAGTGTGCGCGCTCAGCAGGCGGCAGGTGACTACGAACAGCAAGACGAGCAACAGCGTCACGAGTGGTCCACTGCGAGCGAACAGTACTGTCAGCAGTGACAGGAGGAGCAGTGGAAACACCGGACGTGTGATCAAAAAGGGATACTCCATCCCTAGAGTCACACTGAAGAAAGAGCTGTAGGTCATCAACCCATACGTCAAAGTCAACTGCACGTCCCTCAGAGTCAAAGGTGAGAACTGTAGGACTAGCCATAGCAGCAGTAGAAGCAGTAGGAAGAGGAGCAGCAGTAGCAGTAATAGCAGTAGTGCAGCAGTAGTAGCAGTAGCGGCAGCAGCAGCAGTGCAGCAGGAGCAGCAGTGGCGCGGCTCGGCTAGGTGGCGCGGCTCGGCTCACCAGAGACAGGTGCAGGCGCCGGCAGGGGTCGGCAGGGGCTTGTAGCGGCACACCAGAAGGGGCCGCGCGAGTTGGGGCCGGCAGGGGCTCGGCAGCAGGAGCGCCAGTTGGGGCCGGCCGGGGGGCGCGCCAGTTGGGGCCGAGACGGGCCGGCAGAGGGGCCGCGAAGGGCCGGCAGAGGGGCCGCGAAGGGCCGTCAGAGGGGCCGCGATGGGCCGGCAGAGGGGCCGCGAAGGGCCGTGACGGGGCCGCGGCGGGCTGTCAGAGAGGCCGCGAAGGGCCGCGAGGGGCCGCGACGGGCCTGAAGAGGGGCCGCGAAGGGCCGTAGGAGGGGCCGCGACGGGCTGAACAGGGGCCGCGATGGGCCTTAAGAGGGGCTGCAACGGGCCTATTGAGGGGCCACGACGGGCCGTAAGAGGGGCCGCGACAGGCCTGAAGAGGGGCCGCGACGGGCCTTAAGAAGGGGCCGCGACGGACCTTACGAGGGGGGGGCGCGACGGGCCTTAAGAGGGGCGGGGATGGGCCTAAGAAGGGGCCGCGACGGGCCTGACGAGGGGGCGCGATGGGCCTTAAGAGGGGCCGCGACGGACCTTAAGAAGGGGCCGCGACGGGCCTTAGGAGGGGCCGCGACGGGCCTTAAGAGGGGTCGCTAAGGGCCACTAAGGGGCAGCGACAGGCCACTAGGGGCCTCGAAGGGCAGGCACTAGGGCGCGGCTCGGTCAAACGCGACACGCGCCTCGGGCAGGAAAAAAAAAAAATCGAGTGGTGGGCCCTAAAAACTCGAACCAGCTCTATACCATGTGAGAAATCGAGAATGGAATGAGTGAACTAGAAAATGAGATGGGTACAAGAAGGAAGCACAAAAGTGTTGTACCCTCTAAGGACTACCCCACTACAGCCTAAATAGGCTATAGCATATATATGTTTGACACCACCACCTCCACTGCCTCCACCACCTCCACTGCTGGCCCCACCACCACCCCCGCTGCCACTGCCACCACCCCTGCCACCCTTGCCCTTGCTTCTGCGGCGCTTTGCACTAGCAGAAGCGGCCCCGACGCCCTCAGCTCCAGGGACGTCAGCAGCAGCAGCAGTGGCGTAGGAGGGAGCAAGGGGGGAGGGGGAGCACCCCTCAAAGAAGGGCGAGCGCGGAGTGCCACGAGCAGCACCTACAGCGACTACACTAGTCTCAGCTGCAAGGAGGTGCTGCTCAAGAAGGTCAACAGTGAGGGCTGTGGGGTCAAGTGCGAGAAAGTGGTCCGTGACAGCGCGAAGAGAGTCAGGGAGGCGGGTGACTATGAAGTAAAGAGTGATGTATATCGGGGGCGGGTTCTTGGCAAGGAACTCTGCTGGGAGGGCAGCGCGGTAGCGAGCGTCGCTAGTGCGAAGTTCGGAAACCAGGTCCTCTACTGTGGCAAAAGCGGACAGCTCGGGAAACAGGTAGGGCAGAAGAAGTTGGCCTAGAGCAGCAGTGGCAGGCGAGGAGTAACGGGCGACTACAGCGTCGTACAGCGCCTGTGCTGTCCTATGCTGTCCAAAGTGAGAATATTCGGCTAACAGCAGGTGGTTGCGAATGGCTAAGTGAGCAGCAGTGTCACGAGTAAGCCACTGTGAGCGAGTCGCACTGTCAGCTGTGGCGGGAGGAGCGGGAGTAGCACCAGACGTGTGGTCAAACAACAAAACGCTGTTCCTAGAGTCGCTCAGGAGGTACAGCTGCAGGTCGTCAAGCCACGTGTGAAACTGGATCGGGCGGCCCTCATGATCGAACGCAAGAACTCGAAGAGAAGCCATAGCGGCGTAGCACGCAGGGCGGGCAGAAGCCGGGCAGCGCAAAGGGGGGGAGCGAGCGGGCTGCGAGAAGGCAGTGCGCAGGCTGCAAGGGGCGGCGCCAAGGAAGCAAGAGGCGATGTGCGGGCTGCAAGGGGCGGCAAGCGGGCCTTAAGCGGGCGGCGCGCGGGCGGCAGGGGCAGCTGGCGGGCCAAGATTGGGCAGCTCACGGGCGGCGGAGGTGGCTGGCGGGCTACTAGCAGGCGGCGCGCGGGCGGCAGGGGCGGCAGGGGCGGCCGGCGGGCCGCTAGCGGGTGGCGCGCGGGCGGCAGGGGCGGCGGGTGGGCCGATAGCAGGCGGCGCGCGGGCGGCAGGGGCGGCTGGCGGCCCGCTAGCGGGCGGCGCGCGGGCGGCAGGGGCGGCGAGCGGGCCGATAGCAGGCGGTGCGCGGTGTCGAACATTAATCACATAGCCTGTTTAGGCTGTAGTGGGGTAGACACTGTGGGGTACATTCTCTTAGGGTTTCATATTTGTACCCAACTCATTTTCTAGTCAATCAACTCATTCCTATTGTTTCACATGGTATAGAGCGGGTTCCCTAGTGGAACTGTTCCTTCCTATGGGCCCACCTTAAAAAAAAAAAAATCCTGCCCGAAGCGCGCTTTGCGCCCTGCCCTAGTCTTTCGCGGCCCCTTAGCGGCCTGCCCTGCCCTTCGCGGCCCCTTACGCGGCCCCTTACGCGGCCCCGTTCGCGGCCCCCTACGCGGCCCCCCTTACGCGGCCCCCTACGCGGCCCCCCCTACGCGACCCCGTCACGGCCTCGCCCGACCCCGCCCCTTCGCGGCCCTGTCGCGGCGCTGTCCCGGACCTGCCCCGGCCCCGACCCTGTCCCGGCCCCGTCGCGGCCCCGTT